TATTCGTAAAACTCAGTACAGTTGTTATGAGAAATATTTCCAAGTCTTTCGAGGTTTCAGCAAGAAAAGTTACCCAGAGAAAGCACGTTCTTTTACGATTTTATTAGCTAAAGACAATTACAAATTTTCTTCTGCACCAGAAAATTGCGGAGTACAATGCTGAAGGTCATTCTCATCTCTTGGCCATGAACCACCTCGGTGACCTGACTCAAGATGAATACCGTTTCTTTTATCTGGGCATGCGAAGCCACTTTTCCACTGAGACCAAGCAAAATGGCTCTACATATCTGGAACCTAGCCACGTGACGCTTCCATCTGAAGTTGATTGGCGAAAGGAGGGTTACGTCACAGGTGTTAAAAATCAAGGTGTGTTTTTTTAAACTTCAAAACAAAGTACTATCTACCAACCTTTTATTATTTACAGTTGACTACTCTATTATGACACGAGCCTGCGTGGCAGGCGCCGGCTAGTTTTTTGGTTAGTTTTTAAAGAGCGCGCGAGGGGAACACGCGAAGGGGAGAGGAGGAATCCCGCCCAAGGCCTCCATTTCTCCCTTCGCGCACGGGCGTGTGTCCTCGAATTTTCCTAAACCAGCGCCTGCTACGCAGGGTATTATAATACTGATTCATGGTTTAATACTGTTTCTCCGGACCTTTCCTTCAAATATGATAATTATGGTTGACTTGTATTCCTCTGTTTCCCAGGTCAGTGCGGTTCTTGCTGGGCTTTCAGTACAACAGGATCACTGGAAGGACAGCACTTCAAGAAAACTGGAAAGCTCGTCTCTCTCAGTGAACAGAACCTTGTTGACTGCTCTGGAAGCTATGGCAACCATGGCTGCCAGGGGGGGCTTATGGATAACGCATTCAAGTACATCAAAGCAAATAAAGGAATCGATACTGAGGCAAGCTACCCGTATCAGGGTAAGAACGAACCGTGCCGATATAAAGATAGCGACATTGGAGCTACAGACACTGGTAAGTGATTCTTTAGCGCAAGGTTGTTGTTTTTTTTTTTTGTAGACAAACACGTTAGTTTTGACATTGTTTTGAACATGATTGTAACAAAAAATAACTTTCTTGCCTCTACGATCTGGGAAGGGGATTAATTCGTAAGAGAAGTTAGCCTGCGTAGCAAAACTTTTCACGCGGGGTTGCCTAGAAAGTTGGAAGTTTAGCAAAAAAGAGGGAGGGAGGGAGGGGGAGGGAAGACAAGGTTTTCTCTTGTCCCCTCCGCCGTCGATCAGAAACACTCACTTTGCAGGCTAAAAGCAAGTTTAAGAAGTGATTTCAACTGAAACGAAGTGCAAATTCCTTAAGTAAAATTTTAAAGAATAAGTACTAGTGGTAAAGCAACTCACAAGAAAAGCAGTGATAAAATTTTAAACAATGGTTGTTTTCGTTGAATCCCTCAGGGTACGTAGACATTCCCCAGGGAAACGAAACAGCTCTTCAGTCCGCTAGTGCCACAGTAGGCCCAATCTCCGTCGCCATAGACGCTGGTCACTTATCATTTCAGTTCTATCACAGAGGAGTCTACAATAACCCGTAAGTAGCAGATTTTAATAGTTAAAAGTTGTATGTTTTGTTTTTGCTGTGATTTGCTTGTATGTTCTACATTGTTAAACACCTTCTTTATTCAAGGATGAAACCAGCGGTAACTGGAGTCGTCGTGTTTTTTTTTTCCGCCCCTAGTCTTTCTGTCTATAAAGTGATGTTGCCCAAAAGGATATTACTAATCTACACTCACCCCAACCCCCAAAAAGCCACGAATCCATTCTTGTACGCCTTCTCGGACGTACTCGACTTCACTCCTAGTAAATTCACTCCGCTTTCAACTGGTAACCTAAATACGGAAAAGCCCTTAGAACTCACCACATTGACGAGGACATTTTAAGGCGCAGGTTCTAGAAATTCACATGACACGTGCAAAGTGTACGTCATTTCATAAAAGCGAAAACACAGAGCGATACGAGCAAGGAGAAAGAACACTCGCACGCTATATGTGCTATGCGCTCGTTTGTTTTAAAATCGTAGTACAGTGGAACCTTGATATAACGAAGGGCCACGGGACTGGCAAACTTCTTTCGCTATAACAATTGCTCTCTATATTGTATACTGGTTCTACTGTGTATACTCGAGCAAATAATTTCACTTTCCAAGTGAATTATCTCATTTTATCTTTCATCTACTTTCAGGACCTGCAGCAGCACTAGACTTGACCATGGTGTTCTTGTCGTTGGATATGGAACCTATGAAGGGAAGGATTACTGGCTGGTCAAAAATTCCTGGGGGACCCAGTGGGGAATGGAAGGCTACATCATGATGTCGAGGAACAAGAATAATCAATGTGGAATTGCCACAGACGCCAGCTATCCTCTTGTTTAAAACTAACGCTGCTCAGTGGAGTATTTTACGAGAATCTGAATATCTATCATTTACAATTTCACGGATAGTGAAGACACGGGGCTAAATTCTCTAAATACACCGAGACAAATACGTCCATCAACTTTGTTGATATGTAATATACTGAGTGTATTATTAAAGAACATTATGACTAAATTAAGTTGTTTTGTCTGGATCTCCAAACCGAACTAGGGAAGATTACGAAGTCTTCCGGTTGTGATTCAATTCCTATTATTACAATTCACCGTTTTGGTGATAACCCAGGAATTTGTGGACCTTTGGTGTGTGAGTTCGGATTATTTACACCCCCGGGTTTACACTTAGTTTGTGTTTTTACATGTATTTGATTCAGTTAGTTAAAAGTTTGACATAAAGGTCATGAAAATGAGAACCCTAGATTTACTTATTACGCTTTAGTTTCAAACCCATTATAAAGTCCGCACCACTCTTTTGCCCAAGCTCAGAGTCACTGCAAAATTTCTAAACCCCAATTTCGGAGTCCACGAGAGGCAAATTGATTTGAACCCCCTCCACCTCGGGGGCTTCTTTTTAAACTGACACCAGCTGCAAATGACCGCAAACGAATAATTGCCGCAGAACGTAGGAGCTAGGGAAGACCGGATCAGCAAAAATATACAAAGTAGACCGACATTGATTTCTGATCTGCCACAAAGCTGATGGTACTGTGTGAAAATTAACTTTGCAAAACATCAACACGACACAGAAAGAAGCCAAAACGGTTACAACCCCGCCCTGTTTTGGCTTCTTTCTGTGTCCTGTTGGTGTCTTGCAAAGTTAATTTTCATGTAGTACGATCAGCTCTGCGGAATTCAAGGTTTCTATTTGGGCTATTAATTAAAGTGTTTGGGCTTCAGTTAGTTACGAGCGAAAGAACCTGCAATACAGTCGCGACGCGGCAAGTCCAGACCCAACACACACCCGGCATTACAAAGCTTTTTTTCAAGTGCCAATAGATTAACCAGAGTATGCTTTGAGCTGAGTCATCGATAAAAACAATAGGGAATCGTGAGGAGATTTGAAGCCAAAGTTTCCAGACGCTTGCCCTTCGATTCGTCAGAGCAAATCTTCTTTCAATACAAAAGCTCCTCGATTTTGCTGCTCAAATGTGGGTTCTGATTGATAAAGGAGATATATATGTCACGCCATTTGCTATCTTATTAAAAAGATACAACGCTTCTTTAAAATTGAATTCCAAAATTTTGTCCCGGGGGGTACTCCTTTATATAAGCCATAGAGGTATGTGCCCACCTCCCCCCCCCCCCAAACGAGACGGGTTTTTGCGCCGTTTTGGTCGGCCAATGGGTATACACTGACCATTTTGGTCTGGAATCGGGAATGGTTTTCAAGGGAACTACGGAGTGTATGAATGTACCTATCGTTTCAATTCCAAATGAGCTGAGAAAGAAAGAGAAATTGGATTTCACTTATTGTTTTGTTTGCGCTCTAATCTAAGTAACAGGAGCCGATTAATCGGCTCCTGGAGTAATGATAACATAATTTCTGCCTAAAGGCCAGGTCTGAAAACGGGTATGGATTTCAGAGGTCTGGTCTGACAACGGGTGTGGAAAATTACATTTTTTGGTCTGAAATCTCGGTCAGGATTTGAAGAACCGGGCGGCACACCATTCTATTCCAGCAAAAATTACAAACGAATAGTTGTGCTTAGGGTCTCTGATGAAATATAGCACAAAATTGATCCCTAAAATCCTCGTGATATAGGCTTTCAGAGAGACGAGGCCTAATGCTTTATGTCCTTACCAACCGTGCATCGTCGAGCATGTAAGTCCCCACCCCTCCCCACTTCAACAAAAGAGGTAGCGCTTTTCTCAGGGTCTCTTTAAGGTTGAACAGGTACAATAGTGCAGTGAGGCCAAAACTCTAAAGAACAGGGTTGACAGAAAGTGAGTAGGGACAAGGAGCTGACCCGGGGGGCGCTCAAAGTAACTCTGGATAGAGCTGTGCCGCCGAGTCCTTCAAACCCGACCCAGCGCGACAAAAATTGCTCATTTCGCTACCCTGTTAAAGACAGGAGACACTACTTTCTGACGCTCATTTGTTTTGTTTTGCACAGAATTATTAAAGTAATTTTTTACATTAAAATCATGGAAGTGGACATTTATGAAAATATTATTGTAATTGCAAATGTAGACCGCCCATGTGACTTGGCTCTCATAGAATCCCGGGGGGGTACTGCCATATATGGGCTATATAGGTATGTGCCGCTGTGAGGGGTATAGTTTTCAAGCAGTTTACTCTAGGATAGGGTATATAAATCAGAGCATTTGGGTCTAGAATAGGGTATCATTTTTCAGGAAACTGATCAGTTGGTTGAAGATTTTATCTAGACTAGGGAAACAGCTATTCTAGGATAGGGGGATTTTGGGGAGTTTACTCTAGTATGGGGTAGCAAAATTCAGCTGAACTAGCTCTGGTATAGGTTAAGGGTTCCAGGGTCCCAGCGTCACATCCCCACCCAGAAATTCCTAAAGTACTCCCCCCCCCTCCCCGGGCGTAGAATCCTATTATTTTGCATTGTGAAATCAGCTTTGGTGCGCTTTGAAACATTGCTGGTTCCTTATACCGGGTTGACAATGAAAGTAGGGATTGAGGAGTGCTATCTCGTGAGGAGATTTGCGTGACAAAACCTCTGCGTCGGATCATACCCTCCCTTTTAATGGGTGAGACGTCCCTTTTTATTTACGGTATTTTCTAAAGATGACTAAAACCCCGGGGCACTGCCCGGGGGGGTACCCCTGGGAATTCTTGGTGGGAGTGTGCCGCCCGTTCCTTCAAATCCTGGCCCTGTTTCAGACCAAAAAATGTAATTTTCCGCACCCGTTTTCAGGTCAGACCTCTAAAATGCATACCCGTTTTCAGACCTGGTCTTTAGGCAGAAATTATGTTATTATTACTTACATAACAGCGCAAACAAAAAAATTCTTCAAATCCATTTCGAATTCGCATATTTCTCTTTCTTATTGGAATTGAAATGATAAACACGTTCACACACCCCCGTAGTTCCCTAAAAAAAAACGGATTCCAGACCCAAATAGGCAAAGTCGGGTCTGTACCCGTTTTCAGACCAAAACGGCGCAAAAATCCTACCCGATGGGGTGGCACACACCTTTATATAAGGGAGTACCCCCTCCCCCGGGAATAAAGCAAAAAACTCTCCATCTCGCTGTTTACCTCGTAGGGGCTACAATCTCGGACAGAATAAAATGGAGCAGCAATCCCCAATCCTGCCTCCCCCCCACCCCCTCGCCCCCCAAAAGAAATCAAGGCTTCTAAACGGGCCACATTCCCATCATTGATTTGGGGGGGAGAGAGGGCTTAAATGTTCTACCTATTCTGTCCAATTTTTGTAGAATTTTCGCTGGCTATTCCGCATAAAGTGCAGTATATTGCCTGTTTGTCTGATTGTTGTTATTGTTGCTATTGTTGAGTCATGATGATGCACAATCACGAGTATTTTAAAAACACGCCACTATCCTCTTAAGACTCGTGACTGCTGGCATCACAACAAAGTCTTGTGACCTTGTTACAAACGGTATTTATACCTGCCCCGTGGAAAGCCTAATTACATTCCAGGGTCTTACAGAAGAGAGCTTATCTAAAGTAAGTGCACAGCACTAAGTCGAAGCCGCAAAATGAAGATATGTTTAGTCTTCTTGTGCTGCTTAGCAGTAGCTAGTCCTTTCGTTCTCAACCTGAACGAAGATGCGCAGTGGAAAGCCTGGAAGTCTCATCACGGTAAAACGTACACGACCGAGAGCGAGGAAGCCGCAAGAAAAGCGATCTGGAAAGACAACCTCAGGGTAAGGCGATTAGTTAAGATATGTAGAAATTACCATTTTTCTATTTGCGGTAATACATAGTAACTGAATAAATCTTTGACTCGGAGATCCCTTAATGCAGAAAAATTGGGATCACAACGGTCGGCTTGAAACAAAAGATCTGCTTTAGAGATTTTTATAGCATTTAAAAATGCTTTTTTTGGTTAACCTTCCAAATGCTCCCATTGATGAAGGTTACTTGAAATTCATCTCGCTTCTAAATGCGCACAGCATTTAAAGTTTTGCTTAGCTCGTCTAGAGAATAAACCGCATGACAAAAGTGCGTGACAGCTTGAGGGCTTAGGGGGTAGAAGGTGGTTAAAGTCTTTAGTTTCTCTTACTGAGATTTAAAATCCTTTTTGGCTCTCAGAAAATCGCCGAGCACAACGCTGAAGGACACTCATTCCGCTTGGCCATGAATCAGTTTGGAGATCTGACTCTTGATGAATACCGCTTCTTTTACCTTGGTTTGCGCGGTCGCATCCCCAGTGACACCAAGAAAAATGGTGGCTCCACCTACTTGGAACCTAGTCACGTGACACTTCCTTCTGAAGTTGATTGGAGAAAAGAGGGCTACGTCACAGGCGTTAAAAATCAAGGTGTGGTCATCTTTGTTAAGTGAACCACTAAAATTCAAAGTTCTTAAATAAGTTTAAATATTGAATAGACCATCTAAAAACATTCCTTAACCGCTAAGCCATTGCATGCAGAAAACGATTTCACTGATCCTTTACCGTTCGCCTAATCCAGGAATAAAAAAAGCGAGCTCACTCGCCATTTTGCGTCGCTTCCCACTTTCTACGCCTAGAACAGGCTACCCATCCACGCGCAGTGTAGGGTGTTTTGCATCCTCGGGAAATCATGGTTGGCGATTTTCGCTGGCTCTGCTATCCGTTTCTATCTCTGTGTCAAATGAGGGAGTACTCATAGTCTGTACAAGTAGTGATAATTGAGAGAAAACTTTGTCACATTTTCTCAACTTCTGCAGATTGGTTTGGATGTAGGACACCGAGTGATGATTGTCAGCAAAAGAGTTGAGTAATCGTTTCAAACGCTTATTTTCTATCTTACAGGTCAGTGTGGCTCATGCTGGGCGTTCAGTGCAACAGGATCATTGGAGGGACAACATTTCAAGAAAACTGGTAACCTCGTCTCGCTCAGCGAACAGAATCTCGTTGACTGCTCTGGAAGCTATGGCAACGATGGCTGCCAAGGAGGGCTTATGGATAATGCGTTCAGGTACATCAAAGCAAACGGAGGAATCGACACTGAGGCAAGCTACCCGTATCAAGCTGAGAACGAACCCTGCCGATTTAAAGCCAGCGACGTGGGAGCCACAGACACTGGTAAGATATGATGAGAAAGCTAAATGAAATATGTATATGAATATTTAAGTCGAGCTGGTAGAAAAAGGCGCGCTAATTAGCTCAGAGACACCTCGTGTGTGGGAGGGGACTATCTAACAATTGTCTGCTTATTGTTCCTTTTTATATTTTGATTGTTTTGACCTTCTGACATCCCCCCCTCCACAATTTTTCGAAAAATCATCCCAAACCTCTAAAATATTTTAATCAAAAATAAAACACAAACAGCCGTGATAAACATTACAAGTGAACTTTCGCATCTTTATACAAACTTGACCTTTCGTATGCTAGTCAGCATATATTTTCAAAAGTGATCTACAGTAACCGTTACAGATTATGATCAAGACGAGACTTTTTTTACAAAATCTACAAGGGATCTGGAAATGAGATTAAGCATCAACTTTTCATTGCTAATGTTGACATTAAAAGCTGGCTTAATGTTTCTTTTATCCTGCAATGGTAATCCGATTTGCCAAACGCTAGAATTTCAAAATGATCCTACTTAATGTTATGTCCGGTGGCATTGACATCAGCAAAAGCTGACGAGTGGTCATTTTTAGTCAGGGGTTACGGCCTTGAGGTGTTTTAAAGTATTTAAGGCGGCACCCGAATGACTCTGACAGTACTGAGCCATTTTTTTATTGAAAGCAATCTTGGGTGGATTTGGAAGGAAAAGGCCAGAAATAAACGGAAAACAAAGCTTTTAACCAGAATCCCTCCTTTATACGAGAAAGGGGAAGCACTGAGTTTTTCAATTCCGCTCTTGATAAGTTCAGTGTTTCAATCGAGAAACTTTTCTGGCGGAACCATTATTTAAGTCCCGGGTGTTTTCAGGTGTGTTCCAAAAACCGAGCACAATTATTTTCGTCTCCCAAAATTCTGCGGTTGAAAAACAAGTTGCAAGACAAAAGGAAATAGATAACAACCACGTAACCTTGATAAGCTTGCATCTTTACAGGATACATGGACATTACCCCGCATGGAAGCGAAGCAGCTCTTCAGTCAGCTAGTGCCACAGTAGGCCCAATCTCAGTTGCAATTGATGCTGGTCACATGTCATTTCAGTTCTATCACAGTGGAGTTTACAACGAACCGTAAGTGTCTTTTATAAACAGCTGATAAGATACGGTTTCAGTTCTCTCAGAGTAAAATAAGATAAATTTTATATCAGTCCCATCGTACATTCAGTACCAGTATCCCAATTTTCTCGATGTTTTGCCGGCGATTTCCGGAAACTGTTAAAGGTTGTTTGGGAACTAAGTTCATCCGTTAGATCTTACGTATTTTTTCTGCTCTGCATGTCCGAAGGTTGTTTGGATCGATGGAAAACGCAACTTAGATTACGTCCAGGAATATCTTTCCTCTTGATAGTCAGCGATTACCTCGAGAGAAGGCGGGTCGTATAAGAGCTCTTGAACCACGTCTCAGTTCATATAAATTTCGGGGCTATCACAAAGCGACTGCCGAAAAGGTAGTTTCATTTGACAGGCAGGTACAAGTTTTGCGTTACAAGACTTACGACATTAATTATCTTTGTTCTCGTTACAGATCCTGCAGCAGCTCTCAGCTCGATCATGGCGTTCTTGTCGTTGGATACGGAACCTATAATGGCCAGGACTACTGGCTGGTCAAAAATTCCTGGGGAACAAGCTGGGGAATGGAAGGCTACATCATGATGTCGAGGAACAAGAATAATCAATGTGGAATTGCCACGGAAGCCAGCTATCCTCTTGTCTAATCCTAAAAGAACTGAAACATTACGTTATCTTTAAAAGTGTAATCCATTAAGCTTCAGCTTTGTTCTGACAAAGGGGTTACAAGTTATTATTGTTGAAGTAGTATAAATATTATTTTTTTGCGTAAAAATGCGAACATGGACATATATTGAATAAAAAAAACCTCTGTGAAATGAAACTTGAAATAACTTTCTTGCTCACGTCCTTCCATCCTTACTTCGTTCGGGACAACATTTACACTCGAGTTGTTCAAAGTCTTCAGTTGTTGTTGACTAAAAGTATTCCCATTTATTGCTCATTCAGTAATGTTTGGACAATTAAGAAAACAACAACGAAGAAAAGGCGAAAGACCCTATTTTCCCGCCGGACAAAAAGATAGTGAGTTTAAGCGGCCACGTTTTTGAGCGACGCACATCAACCGGAAGTGAGCCTTTTTCTCTGTATTGCCAAGTGCCTTAATTCTTATAGAGACAATTTGCCCAAAAAATTGTTCAAAATCACGGCTCAAGAGTGCAAAAAGTCAACTTTCGGTTGACCTGCGTGGCTCAAAAACAGCGCTGCTGAAACTCCCTAACCTTAACATCCTGTCCATAATCGTTTCAAATTTAACACATGCTTATACTTTCAGTTATGCAAATATGAAGGCAACCAAAAACTTGCAATATTACATCTGTCTCTGCAGTATTCTCTGTAGATCTACTACATCTGGACTGTTCTCTTAACAATACCTTATACCAATACCAATTTCCCCGCCTCGGATTAAAATTGTATGCTAAACGCGGTATTGTAGCCCCTACCAGTGTCACGCCATTCAAAATAGAGCATCAGTGCTTCAGAAAAAAACACTACTCAGTATCAGATGCAGTTGACAACGTAGTCTAATAATGTGTCACTTCGCACGACATTGAACATAGCCCGAAGAACGCTCCCAATCTTCAAGCCACAAAACTACAGCACTCGCCTACTACGCAGGCTAGAACAGCTGCTATTTTTTCCCATTCATCTGGCGAACGAAGCACGAGGTGGCGGTGGACACTCTCGACTGGTAAAGGCGCCTTCCCCGTCGCGTGTGTCTCGCGCCCCTCACTCGCTTTGCGCTTGCCAGAGTAACACCTCTTCTAGTCTGCAGGAATAAACTGAACAAGAGCAAGATCATAATTGTCCAATTTAGATCTCTTGACATGATGCAGCCTCACTTCAGGTCCTTTTCCACTTTCGGTGATTGCATGTTGCAGCTAAAAAAAAGCCCGGCCCGGTGGCCACATTAAACCACCGGATATGCAGCTTTCGTAGCTGTTTGCCGGTCGTTCGAGCGCGTTTTCTCAGCTTTTTTTCCCGCTCTCGCCAACTGAAACAAACCGCCAGCCACGCAGGCTCCCGAGGGACGGGATCGCGGGGTTTAAAACCCTCCAGTGAAAAAGCTCCCGTCGAAACCAAGAGCCATATTGTCCCATTATATTATAATGGCGCTTGTCGCCTGAACAAAACACTTCCTTGTACAATCACGCACTCATCTCGTGACTCTAATCCTTTGTTGATACATTACACTGCAAGCATTCCAACTTGAGACAGTCACCGACTTGCGCGGCCTTGAGGAAGATCAAACATTGTACGGCGTCACAAATGAAAGGTTTTATCGCTTTTGTGCTGTGCCTAGCTTTTGCAAATGGCCATATTCTACAAACTGAGTATGAGCAGCAGTGGCAAGCTTGGAAAACTTTTTACGAGAAGAAATACAACACAGACACTGAGGAAGAAGCGCGCTATGCGATCAGACTTCAGACTTCAGACTTCAGACTTCAGACTTCAGACTTCAGACTTCAGACTTCAGACTTCAGACTTCAGACTTCAGACTTCAGACTTCAGACTTCTGACTTCTGACTTCAGACTTCAGACTTAAGACTTCAGACTTCAGACTTGACAAAGTTCGAACTCCGGATTTCTGATTTCTGACCATTCAATCTCAATGCTGCATGGTGTGGTACTGTGTCAACAAGTTCTTCACGCAGTAATGTTTTGGTACGTTTTCCTGATTGCTGTTTAAAGTGATGCCTAGGTGAATCCAATTATAGTTAAATGAAAGAGCTTAACAGACGTGTAAATTTTTTCTACAGGTTACCTTTACTAGCCATTTTAAACATGGTTTGCCTCTCGAACTGCGTTATGCCTGCTTATACGCCAGCCTTACAGAAAGATGAAGGTCTCGAAAGAGAGGACCTAATTACGAGCTACTTCAATCAAGGTTTAACTAACGCTGAGATAGTTGGTTTCCTTGTTCTACGACATGGTATTGTTTGCTCTGTGCGAACATTAAAACGAATTCTTAAGCGTTTAGGGCTAAAACGAGCTAGGCATAACAATGAATCCCTCACAGAACACATAGTCGGTGCTGTTCTGGAAGAACTGGAGAATTCATGTGGCTCCTTTATGGGATATCGTCAGTTGACAAGGCGACTGAGACGTAAGTATGATTTAAAAGTGAGAAGAGATACTGTGATGAGAGCACTCCGCATCATAGATCCCGAAGGAGTTGAACGTCGCCAAAAACGTGCCCTAAAGAGAAGAAGGTATAGTACCCCCGGTCCGAATTTTTTATGGCATGTCGACGGCTGGGATAAACTTTCCCCATTTGGTATTTTCATTCATGGAGCTGTAGACGGCTTTTCTCGACGAATTCTCTGGTTAGAAGTCAATTCAACGAATAAAAATCCTAACGTTATTGCCTCCCACTACCTCACTACAGTACAGGAACTCGAAGGGGTGCCTAGACGGATGCGTTGCGACCGGGGAACGGAAAATACAATCATTGGAAGCCTTCAACAGTTTTTTCGATGGAGCGACGTGGACGATTTTGGTGGAAGGGAAAGTTTTCTGGAGGGCAAAAGTTGTGGGAATCAGCGTATCGAAGCCTGGTGGTCTAAATTTCGTGAGGGAGGAGGCGGATGGTGGATGAATCTTTTCAAAGACCTGCGTGATACTGGCTTTTACAAAGATGACTATCTTACCAAGGAATGTCTGAAGTTTTGTTTTATACCCATAATTCGACGAGAACTGCGTCTCGTGGCAGAACTTTGGAACACTCACCATATTCAGCGACAGAGGCGGTGCGACGTAGAAGGCGGTAAACCAGACGTGATGTTTTTTACTCCTCAAGTTTACGGAAAACAGGACTATTTGGTAAATGTAGACAAAGATGATGTAAGTGCGTGCAAAGAAATTTATGCCGAGAATTGCGTTGATTACAATGAGGATATGGAAGAGTTAGTGAGACTTATAAAAACAGACTATCAACCTCCATTAAACGAGTACGAGGCTCTTAAATTGTATTCCGAAATAATTGTTCTTTTAAAAAACCATTAACAACTTGAAGGAAACACATATTAGAATTTTTTGTCTAGCTGAGAAAGCGCACGCTGCGTAAGGCTAGGGGTTTCTTGCTCTTAGTCGTTTCGGGTATTCTTGCAATTTGCACTTAGCATCTACCTCCTTTTTTTGTAACTCCACGAGAGTAGCGAAATTTAAAAATAACATTCGCATGAGTTAGTCGTATTCCCATGATGGATAATAATATGGTTAACTGCAGAATAGTGTCAATCTCGAAATTTATCTTCCAGATAAAACTTAATGATGTGAATGGAATGTATGTTACTTAACTAGAAACAGAAGACCCTTTATTATTTTTTTGTTATAAAAGGTTGATGTACAAAAAAAATTCAACTCATTGCCGCTTTGGTCCTTAATGTTTAGAACCAACGCATCCATAACGTGCGGTGGGGATTTGTATTTTGTATTAGGATATTTATGTACACAAAATTTAAACAAAACAACCTGGTACCTTTTACTTAGCTACTAAGACTAACAGGAGGTGAGTGTAAAATGTAGAACAATTTTGGCGATGGTGATCAGAATACTTGGGACAGGATGGTGCTGCGCTATAGAAACACCTTACAAGCACAAGTAGCTTCTATCAGTTCTTTTAAAAAGCTTAAGTTGGGGTTTCATTTAACAGTAAAGATGAAGAGTACTGTGGCAGTGTCCTCCCTGGTCTATCTTTCGCATTACGTATTAAAGTTTCCCTTTTCTTACACCTATGACATAAGTTACAGGTTCAATGAGACTAAAAGTTAGGTCTTTTCAATTCATTTATTGATCAGCTATTCACAAATCCATTGTCAATGAATATACAAGTATTGAAAACATCAATTTATCAGGCCTCAAACGTTCAGGCAATCAAATTCTCGTACTGTACAAACAAAACAACTTAACAGCTTGGGTCTTTAAGCTTTTTTATATAACGTGTTAATTAAGTCTACTTAAAAACTGGGACTTTAAAAGCGTCCAAAGGAACTTTGATCCCCTCTAAAATATTAGCTCCTGGATTCTATTTCTATCAAAATATTAATTGTCTTGTGGAAAGCGGCGGATTCCCTGAATAAGCAAATTCAACGATACATTCCGGACCGGACCTGCATTGGACTCACAAAATAGTACCGCAGTAATTATAATCTTACAAGTATAGCAGGCAACACGTTTGTACAACAGATATAGTAAGGATGTTTTTAGACTGCAAAAAATTCAATGTAACTACAAATAACACAAACTTGGACTTGATCGCCCTGACCATTTTCCCTAATCAATTGACGAAAATAAAAAATTAAATGAAATAATGCACCGTAATTAAAACATTGTTTTACGTACCGGAAGCCATGAAAAATTCAAATCAGTGCTAAAAGTAGCAAATGCAGATTCAAATGACCTTCCATCAAAATGCTTTCCTTAATAGTTGTGAAATATTTACACTCCACCCACGTCGCTGGAGAGATCAAAGAAACACTGCCAGTTCCGAGTCACATGCATGCATGCGAGGGACGACCTGTCTGAAAGGGAAATCATTGTACTGAACTGCATACGTTGACTGCAAACCGACTGCTGCACGACATGAAGTCTGCATTTGGAAAACACCTCTCGCACTGGATAGCATATCAGCTTTTTGTTTTTTTTTTTTACTTTCCATTCTAATCATTCTAAAGGAAAAAACCTTTTAAACAGATGTAACGATTTCCAAAACAGTCGTGTTACCTGCCTGGATAAGTAAACGGAACATAAAACTCAAGCTTGTTCTAATGTTTAAAATAGGCATTCATGTAGCCTGTAATGATTCCTATTCAATATCTCTAATGTGTCTTTATGGGAATTTACTAACAAGAGCAATGGCACGGGGCCTCTTGCTGATGTCATACTGAAAACAGTCCTCTAGTATACCCTGAAACGAATTACCGACGGTGGTTGAAAGTAATCCTAATGAGCGAGGGCTCTCTTTCTTCTTCATGAGGGCCAAAAGTGAGTCCACAGCACTCTCGTCCTCTTCGTGAGACTCCCGCTGCGCACCGTTATCTTGAAGTTGCTCTCCCCAGCAGTCCGTTTCTGTGAACAGCTCTATTAATGTAACTGCCAAGGACCATACATCGGAGTTAACAGTGGCCTTCTTTCTCTCCAGCAGGCACTCTGGAGCCATGTAGGAAGGAGTGCCAGGTATGCCCGTGCTGGTTGTATGACTAACGGATTGAGCAGATTTCAATTTGCTCAGTCCCATATCACAGAGTTTCGTGACCTGTGTTGCCTCATCTACTAATACATTGGCGGGTTTTATGTCTCTGTGAACCACAGGGGGCTTCAAATTATGTAAGTACGCAACAGCCTGGCAGATTTGTTTTGCCAAGTGCAACTTATTGCAACGTTGGATGGTGAAATGGGTATCGTTTTTATCATCGCTGCTGAAGAGAAGGTCGTCTAAATTGGGTCCTTTGATCAATTCTGACACAAGGTAGATGGCGTTTTTCAAAAATGAAATTGCCATAATTTGCACAATGTTTGGATGGCGGACAAGGCTGTGCACTTTTATCTCAGATTCCACACTTGCTTGGAGACGTTTTGCATTTCTGACCTTAATATGCTTTACTACGACATCAGTTCCAGCCCACAGTCCTTTGTAGACTGTACCGAAGGAACCTCTGCCAATTTCATCTTTCAATATCACCTCGTCCTTTTCAACCACTGGCAAAAGACCATGGCCATCTTTGCCGGAAACTGGTGGATGTACCTCTTCTGACATCAAACAATGGCTCTCTTTTGCCTCCATGCCAGCGACGGGGATACTTGGGGGTTCCAACTCGTCAACCGGACAGATCACGACTGGCTTTGATGTGGCCTTTTCTTCGCCACAGTGAACCTCTACGAGGTAGCTTCCTGGTGATGTTATAATAAGGCAACAACAGTTGTTGCCCTCTTTTACCTTTTTGCCATCACGATACCATATATACCATGTATTCGTTCCGAGGTGGCAGGACGCTATCACTCCAATAATTAATTGGTTTCCGTCGTATCCCCAGACCTCGGAGGGAGGATGGAGGATGGTGCTGCTGGACTGGGTGTCGGAAGTTCGAGGAAAGACATACCTAAAGTCTTCTACATCCTCTGATTTGGAAAAGTAGCACTTTTCCACAAAATATTCTTTTCCCTTACAAATATCAGCGATGGTGAAACCATTTTCGAGTGGGTCAAATGCTTCTAACTCTTCGTCTAGAGTCTGAGGTTCGTTCAAGCAACGGAGTTCATAGCACGATGCTATTGAAAATGAAAGTGATTTCATCATGACGTCACTGAAGGACGATTCTGTGCAATATTCGTAAGTAACTATCAGTCCGTTTTGGCTGATAACCTGTTGGGTGGGAACACTGTTTGCCACATCCTTCAGCACATAAAGGGGCCTTTGCTTTTCTTTATCGCCTCCAGCGTTGCGTGATGAACTACTCCCTGTCGGTTTTCCCAACTCTCCTGATAGTTGTGCTCTGTTAAGTCCAAGCCCCATGAATACGTCAGATACACCGCTTTGCACGCTCTCAGCTTGCTCAGACAACTTCAGCTGGCTACAGGCCTCTTGTCTCTGTGAGACACTCGCTGATATTCCGTCCTCTTCTTCTGTAGATGTGGACATCAGGTAAATATAACAGCGGCTGGCAAACAGGCCCCGTGATCGGAGATATTCTTGAAAGGTGCATACTTCCCCCTCTGTGTTCTTAAAAGCCGTTATTTTTTGTTGCGCGTAGTTGCCCAACTCAAGCTTCATTCGAGGTAGGGCACCTAGCTTCGAATCTCCTTCTGGAAAAAATAGTTTGCTGGCCTTCTCTTTAAGGAAATCTACAGTGATCTCATCGTCATTGGTGTATGTGAAGTCACGAATTCCTCCCCCGTCTTTCATTCTCACTTGCTTGAATCGGGATTGGCTGCTTGAGCGGTGAAGCCAACCAATGAACATCTTTCGAGGCTTATTCGGTTGTTGTTTTGTAGGCACTCGAGAGGGACCTGGCCGGGATTTTCGCGGTTTTTCTTGTTTGGCACTTTTCCTTATTTTCTCTACCAAAGTTTTAATGCGTTCCTCTTTTTGCACTAGGAGAGAAGAATGATGGATGCCAAATTATTTAATTAATATCCTTGAAAATGCACTTTATTAATAAATTAAGTAAGTGCCAAAAAATTGAACTAATCCAATGTTGTTGTGTTAATTATTTATCTGTACTCCTTAAGATTGACGTGCCCTCAAACAAACAAAACAAATAAGTTTTTGTCGCTGCAGTTGTAATCATGCAGCTAGCCTGTAGGGCCTAATTTTCAAGCTTGCGAACACAAAGAACGCAAAACAAGTATCATATTTTTTTCAAAAACTAATACAGATTGTCGGCAATTTTACCTATTAAGTTGATTTACCTTTTGACTCGTCCACCGGTTTGTCCTCAGCTACAAGAAGCGCCTTCAACATTGCTATCTGCCCAATGGCTAGACCCATACTTTCAAACTGTGCGTCTGAAATCATTTGTAAAGACTTGATACTATAAACCTGTGAAGGGAACACGCAAGTACCACACCTTAGTTTAATTGGCATGAAACTAAAGGAGTAAATAGAAAGGAGTAAACCACGTGTACGACGAAGTTATCATCTGACTAGGAAGGGTTTGCAGAACGATGGTCTAATGATTCTACTGAGCAGTCATTTGTGTTAAGGGTATAGAGAGATTTGGGCTCGTAGACTAAGAGTGCCTTTATTCTCTCCTCCCGTACTCTTGCGTTACGTTTTGGCCTATCAGTTAAAAAAAAAAAACAAAAAAAAAAAAAGGGCTAGGCGTGAGAGTACAAAATCCTAAAGTCCAGTTGTGTGGAAAGGGGCCGGGCCGGGAGAGCGGCGAGGAAATCTGTTCTTTTATAACACCTTTATGTCATTTGATCCCGTACTAACCTTATTTTTTTCAAATTTCGTCTTCAAACCCTTGAGATTTTTGTCAAGAAAATGATCAAGCTGCAACAAAACAAAGACCAATGTTTTCAAACCACTTTTGTGCTGTGCCTAGCTTTTGCAAATGGCCATATTCTACAAACTGAGTATGAGCAGCAGTGGCAAGCTTGGAAAACTTTTTACGAGAAGAAATACAACACAGACACTGAGGAAGAAGCGCGCTATGCGATTTGGAGAGACAATCTGAGGGTAAGTTAAACATACTTTTTCTCCCAGAATTATAAAATTAAAATCCAGGAACAAATTACTCTTTCACGCCTCATATAAAATAAAGACGATGCTTCTTTCCACATGGCAAGAGACTGACAACAACAACAATACGTTTCTATCAGGTCATCTACAGATGACAGTACATACAGGCGCGGATCCACACCGGTTTCCACGGTTTTACAGAAATCGGTCAGATTTTTTCACGAGATATATTTTTAGTTAAAAAAAAGCTATGCAACTAGAAATCTTGTTCCATAACTACAACATGGAAATTGACCATGATAAAATCCTCCGATTTGTAAGGCTTCATTAGAAGAGAATGGAACTGGCCAACATCCCGTCTGAATGACTCAGAAACCCAGGAAAGGGGCCTTTAGGTAGTGAAAATCCAAAAAATTTCCTGTGACAGCCCATGCTCCCTGATCCCCCAGAAGCTTGCGCCCTGGGCGTTACGTTTCGTTAGTAAATCGGTCAAAATTTATCCTAGATCCGCTCCTGACATATCCCGAGACTTGGACGGGCACGTACTAAATTATAAAATTTTATGAACGCTGGGGCACTAAAATCAACTTTATTTATACCACAAATCTCTTGTGAAAATTCTGTTTTCCTCTTAACAGTAATGCTTAAAATGACTCCTTTGAAACTTGCCCCTTCGTTTGAAATAAGACTGCCTTTCAAGTGTGCAGAACAAAGCCGGGTAAATAATGGTACAGCGTGACAATTTTGTAAATAAACCCACACTAGAATCGATAATCTGTATAGACCTATGCGAAATATCCTCTGTGGGCTTCAAAACATCTCCACACTGAATAGTTTAACACGTTATGGATGGATGTGGGCTAGATACCATCACCTGCTTTCGTTTTTCTTCGTTATGTGAAGGAAAGCGGATGCTTGACTGGAATTTTACCCCGAAACAAAAGAACCGGAACTCCTACGAGGAGATACCGTAATTCTAAAATAGACAAACAAATAAGACGTACGTTAAACTCTTTCTTCGTGTTCTTTTCTTTCCTTTTTTTTTCTCTTTCTTTTTTTTAGACTCTTTTTTTTTCTTTTTCTTTTTTTCCAGTATTTATCTGTCTTCATGCACAGCTCTATATTGGCAAACCGCAAAAGTAGCACTGTCGAAAATCCTCGAAAATCTCTTATTTTCAGTTTGAGGTTTCATGTGAATGGTCACACCATAAAAGATTTTGTCTGCGGACTCAACAGTTAGAACAACCTTCCCAGACTCCATCATTCACTTTGAGAGCGAAATTGTAAAATGGTTCTGAAGTCATGCAGTGTCTGCAGTACATACATACATATCCTTTATTTAAACACGATAGGATTTAAAGCTCAAAGTTTGTGGAGTCGTGTAAAAATAATTACAAATGAATGAGAACTATGTTAAAAATAGGGATAACATTACTTACAAAATACAACTACATAAAAACACTAAAAAACTGATACATTAAGGTTCTAGTTCCTTAAAATAAGAGGCCTTCTTCACTTTGCGGGAAAAAAAACAGTAAACTGGTCTGTAAAATGAGTCGAGACAGGGTTCCAAAGAATAGCGCCTCTAGAGGTTTTAAGAAACTGCGGGTTAAAACGAGGGACGATTAATATGTTATTGCTCCTTCTGAAGTTGCACGCAGTACAAGGTTTATTCGTCGAGTATGAAAGAGCCGCAGGTGCTTCACCTAAAAACACGCTATATGGAGTAGTTTAATTAATCGAAGTTTATGATAGAAGGTTAAAGTACATGTATTCCAATTCGAATGTCGGTATACTTCCTTGCACTAGGGAAGTTGTAAATTATTCTGGCTGCCCTGGGTGAAGTACTTCGAGAGAATGTAGAAGGTCCGCATTAGGGCAGCCGTTCCTTTTGTTCTAATAGTTCAAGACGTTTCGGTTTGCATTTTAATGAGAAGAAATTGCAAACTCCAGTACAACGGACAACACTGTTAAAATGGAGCCTATTTCTTTTAGGAAAAAAGTTTATAAAGATTGTAAAAAGCCTATTATGTTTAAACAGCTGCCTTTTCCAATTTTCAATGCAATAACGAGCTTAATAATTATATTAACTGGTGGTTTGTGACAGAGCTTTTGAATTTGCATTTGTAGGACCTGGAATTCGATACAGAAATAGAGCGTATCTAAGGTCACCTGTTTCTTAATTCAAATTTTGACTGACAAGACTTCCTTGTACAACACTTCCTTGTACAATCACGCACTCATCTCGTGACTCTAATCCTTTGTTGACACATTACACTGCCAGCATTCCAAATTTTGAGACAGTCACCGACTTCAGGGGCACCCAACGACTGTTTTCTGTGAAATAGCTGTTCGGAGAAGTAAAAATTGCCTAGAATTTTCTATAGCTTGAGGAAGGCTAAAAATTTCTAGATGACCGTTCCATTCATGTACACAATTTTCGAAGCTTTTCTAGTTAATTCCCTACGATTTTCTGAAGGTTCATTTTTCCCATTTCACTCCCAAGGTTAGGTTATTTTTCGTAGAGAAAGGAAACCTAAAATTTTCGGAATCGAAAATGCAGTGCAGAAAGGAATCAGAAAAACTATCACTTTCG